TCCGTACGCGCTTACGGATAGTTGTTTGCCATCAGCCTATATATACTCCAATTAACGCGTCCATTGTTTTGTGTATACGCAACAATCTACAATTTTCTCAGAAGCATTTAATAATCTTACATTCCAAGAATATTACAGTCTTATTTAAATGTAATACTATAATTGTCACTGCAAGAATACATATCATTATTTTGACAATAAAGTCATTTTAATCTTCGATTTTGTAATATGTCATTTTCTATCCAATGTATTGTTTCCTGTCCATTCAAGAAAATTATTCTTAAATAATAAGCACATATTTTTCTTGATGGAATTATATAAAATTGTTTCATTCAGGCAAGTTTTTCTTCCTTTAACGCAACATAATTTCATTTTAAAAAATTCCTCTTTTCTGTGTAGTATTCTGGAATATTGTTGGTGATTTTAATGTTTACGACAAAAATCGAAAATTGCATCAACCCCAAAAAAGAAAATTGCTTCATTCGAGCAAGTTTTTCTTCCTTTAATGCAACATAATCTCATTTCAAAAGAAGAACATTCCCTTTTTCTGCGTAGAATTCTGGAATATTGTTTCAGACGAATAAAAAATGACCATTTTAATGTTAACAAAAGATCGAAAATTGCTTTATTCAAGCAAGTTTTCTCCTTTTAACGCAACATAATTTTATTTCAAAAGAAGAATATCCCTCTTTTCTGTGTAGAATTCTAGAATATTGTTTCAGACGATTAAAAACTGGTTATTTTAATCGAGATAGAGCCAATCATATTTATTATAGAAAAAGAAATATTTTAATCTTAAATGAAAAGTTCGAAAATCTATGGCCGGTATTCATAGTCAGATCTTGTATTCAAGACCGTCTTAAGGTCATCTTTAGATACTCCGTAGCCAATGAAATGTTCCATACAGCATCTTTAGATAAATTCAAGACGGTCTTGGCCGGTATTCATAGTCAGATCTTGTATTCAAGACCGTCTTAAGGTCATCTTTAGATACTCCGTAGCCAATGAAATGTTCCATACAGCATCTTTAGATAAATTCAAGACGGTCTTGAATAGAAGATCCAACTATGAATACCGGCCTATAATAAAATGATAGTATGTATGGCCCTTTGTCGAATATCGTACTGCCAACTTCGTGCGTTGTACAGTAAGATGGAGGGAGAATTTATTCTAAACGCAAGATTATATAAAATTACTCTTGTCTCAGTACAGTAAGTCAATCTTTTTAATTCGATAGAGGAGGATAAAAATTATTGAGTTATTTTGATATTGTCTTATTTTTATACAAATGAGGTTGTGAGAAATGTAAATGCGTCAGGAATATTTTTGTCTCAGTAGAAATCCTTTCTGAGGGTGCGGGTACAAGTTCGAGACAAAGGCTTTTCCACGGGAACTCACGAATTGAGACTTTTCCGGTCGAAGGGAGTTTCCCCAATAATAAGCCGAGCAACATCGCGAGCGTGTTGCCCGTTTGCGTCGATGACCCACTGTTACTACTGAAAAATGTATGTCGGCTGTCAGTCCTGGTGGATAGGTACATTGTCTCGCGAAAGGGATGATGCCTTGGGCAAACGTGACACGTACGGTGAACTTGACTTGACAGCGCTGGCGTGACTGCCGCGTGTTGGGTGTGGACACACGTTGACTGAAGATAAACTAACAACGAGGGTGAATTATATGTAGAATTACCTCGCACTAGAGGGAAAGCTTCGGGGGGAAGGGAGGGGGGACAAATGCGCGAGCGTTTTCTATAAATACGTCGACTTTGAGATACACGCGAGTGATTTTCTATTATAAAAGCTGTCGGACTCGTCGGCAGAGATTCGCGCGTCGAGCTCTGACATGAGTTTTCCATGGCGAGATACTTTTAGATATTCGATTTCAGATTACGGTGTTTTACTTACGTTGTCATTTACGGTTGTTTCGCTCGAAGCTGTCGAGTAATTTACGTATGGAAATACGAATACATTTTACATGCTATAATGTTGTATTATACACGAAGAAAATTTACCCTTAAAATTTATCTCGAAAATTATGTAATCTTGGGACATTTCAAAGAATTTTATGAGGGTTTTTTTTATTTTACTTAACATTTTTTACTAGAATTTTATAAAAGTTTTTTGAAACTTTACCATATTATATTTTAGTAATATATTTTAGTAAAATGTATTTTCAAAAAAACTCATAAAGTTCTTCAAAATGCCTCAGGATTATATGATTTTCGAGATAAATTTTAAGAGAAAATTCTCTCCGTGTATAATACAACATTATAGCATGTAAAATTTATGTCATGTTGTCCCACGATTACAAGACTTTCGGAATAAATTCTCTCCGTGTAGGACATAATATAATATGTCTATTATTCTGAATATAAATCTAAGGATTCGAATGTGGCGCATCCCGCGTCTTTCTTCTTTTTCGCTAAATTGACAAAGTTTAATAATAAATTGAATCGTACCTGATGGAAGCCAAGATAACTCTCTATGCTATGGGTAGCGAAAAACACTTCCCCGTCGCAAGTCAGTATTAGCAGGAACCCGTTCAGTGCCTGAAACACAAAATCGATCGTTAAGTAAATTAGACGTGAGTGCATGCGAGAGCAACGGTATTCACAGAAATTGATTAAACGAAACATTAGGTTCTTTTTATTTCGCAAGAATATTATATCGATAATAATCGACGATAAACAGGCGGCACCGAGCGTATCTCGGCTAAAACAAAACTCGTCTGGAATTGAACGTAATCGGGCTTGGGACTGCTCCGTTTGCATCGGGTGCGGAGCTCAAGAGGCTAATTCGCGGCGCGGATAAGTTAGGGGCGCGGCAAAATACAGGTTTAGACGTTGTTAGACGTACGCGGGAGCGCACCCCCTGGGCGAATAGAGCGGCGGCACGAGAGAACGAGAGGGTACGTTGCCTTTTCGAAACCGAGGGCTAGCGTTTTGCGGCGGCGGCGGCATAGGTCGGAAATGTTCCGGAAAGTTTTCTCATTTGTCTGCCGACTCGATACCGGCAAATACCAAACGAGCTTGCACAACTCGAGTGTTCACCTCGAAGCCCAAAATACCTGTTATTGCCGTAGCTCTCTCACGAGAGGGAAACATACCTCCGCGATATTTAACTAATAGATATTTGGAGAATCGACTGATAAAATCAGCCGACGTGACGAGAAGAAAATAGGCAATAATGTCACTTAAAAAGTAAACCTTATCTAGAAATTAATAAAATTTAATTAAACTGACAGCTTCTGCTGATGAATTTGTTACGGATTACAAGTCTTCCAATTATTATTAAGTGCTATGTAAGTTGCACTTAAGGGGATCCTAAATTGGCGAACTCGATCAGTGTCGATAAGATAGAAGACGGAATTGAAAACCTCGATTATCGACATTTTTAATTCCAAGTTCTACCTTAGATGTCACGATGTTCACGAGCTGGAATTCGGTCCGAGAAATTTAAAGCTAATCAATTTGCAACTTTTACGTAAAAGCAGCAATTTTGTTAGCTACACATTGCTCAGACCGAGATTTTGAGATCGAATTCTAGCATCGTCAACACCGTGGCTTTACTGACAATCTGACAGATATTTGGCAGCAACCTCTCTCGAAAAAGCCTGCAACTATTTCTACAGGCTATACTGCTCTTTTTCTCTTCCTCTAGACTTAGATTTTTGGACTTGCGTTTATTAGAAGTAACCTTTTTTTCCAGGCTTTTAATCTTAGTTCTAATTGCACTATATTTCGTATATATTTATTGTAGAATTCTTGTATCAAGCAAATATTGTCGTCAAGTGTACCAAAGCTTATTAAAATTTTTAATTCTTTTCGTTTTTAATGTAAAGTCGACCAGCACAGTCTAGATTTTGCTGCGTGCTTTAATTCCGCAAAAGAGTTTTGTATTTCTATACAGCCAATTGAATGATTACTTCTAACAAAGAATGTCGATAAAACAGACGGCTTTAGGATCCCCTCAAGGCGAAGAATCGCGAAATAGAATCCATTTGACACTTTATAACGTAACTTAATAATTTTGTAGCGCAATGATAGCGGAATTTCGTGGGGAGGAAAAAAGGGAAGAGCGAACTCCGGGGCGAATGAATCTTGAGAACAAAGGCTACCGGGTTACCGATAAGAATAATTCAAGTAAATCACGTAATCCGACGTGGCACATACGATTAAGCTTTCCGAAATACAGAGGCAATTTCGAGCCGCCACGCGAGAATAGTGCGGCGGCACGAAAACGGAAGGGTGCGTTATACCTTTCGGAAAGCGGAGGGCGGCGCGTTGTTTCTCTCGGGACGGGAACGCGCTGAAAACGCCCCGGGAAAGTTTTCCCATTTATCGGCGGTCCCGATACCGGCAAATACCAAACGAGCCCCGCGCCGCCCCGAACGCGGCGCGCATCGAGGCCGAAAATATCCGTCCCAGTTTTAGCAGTCTTCGGCAGCCACGCCGCCCTACGCCGCTCGGAAGCGCGGGGTAGGAAACCATTTAAAGCCTCCGTCCGTTTCTGCGCGGGCTAAATGTGTATTGTTTTGTTTTATTCCGCGGTGGCGGTGCCAGGCACGCCAGAAACCGCGGAAACTTATTGCTCTGAAATATGGCGAAGCGGAATCGGCCGCGCGTAGAAAGAGGTGTACCGATCCGCCGGGTCAATTTAATCCCCGTCGCAATTTTCTTATCGCTTCGACATCTCAATTTTAACTAATCAGAATATTCTTCAATGTCGCCAGCGGTTAATTAACAACGTCAGTGTTTTCTTCACCGTACCTAGCATTTTTAATGATACAGAACATTTATTGCGAAAAATATTACCTTTAGACGCCCGCCTAGAGTGTAGGGAGGCCCAGGTTCAAGCCCTGGCTGAGGTAATATTTTTCGCAATAAATATTCTGTATTATTAAAAGTGCCAGGTACGGTCAAGAAAACACTGATAGTTTCAATTTTAACTGAATATACCCAATTGACGTACGTGCAAGCGATAGCCGGCCACGACAAACCTTGACAAAGCGCGGTATTAAAGAGGATATAATTGAAAGAACTGATGGCTTGAAAATGTCTTGTAGATTGTAATAATTATTGTAATTTTAGAGACTTTAGTTTGGTAGTTTTAAAATGTTCCACAGATTGTGATAATTATTTTTGTTCAAGGTAGATTCGCGTCTTTGCTGTCTTTTTGTCTTGCGATTTTAATCAATATTGGCATACGACTCTTTTCTGATATACCTTCGGAGATTTTCCGCCGTAACAAGTGCCTCGTTGCGATGATTGCAGATATTTCGCGGCTTCATAGTTCATAGTTTAAGACCGCGGACTTTGTATCTTCTTATTGCCAGCGTAAAATAAGGGTTGCATTTTTCAGAAGGGAAGCGAATTAAATAATTACGATGGTAACCGCGCAGCTCAAATTGCGGTGTCATAAATCGCGGGCGCATTTCTTCCGTTTCTGAAATGTGTAAGTGGATTTCGAATGAATCTCTCTGGATAAGAGATACATTCGGACTTTTGGATGTTGTTCGCTTCAGGATGAAACGAAATGATGAACTCGCGTTTCCCTCGTTTAATGATTGGTGAAATCACGACTCAAAGAAATAAAGGATATGAGAGCCAAGACAGTATGTTAGTGTCTGAATCATTTTAATTTTTAAATTTATTGCCAAAAATTTACCTCAGGGTCTGAACGTGGACTTTCCTCTCACTAGGATTGGTTGAAATTGCAATCTTCTAGCAACAAATTGCGCTTTCCACGCGTTATATTTTTTCGCATGAAACGCTTAAACACCAAGAAAAGGCCTAATAAATAAATTTGACATTGCCATTTTATATGAGAATTTATAACATTATTTCACACAGTGCCAATGTCCACTTGCAAATATCTTTCACACACTCAATGTAAATAGATAACATCTTGATATTTTATAATTATCATAAATTTTACATCTTAAATATAGTAAATATTAATTTTACTTTTCGCAAACATCTTTGGAAGTCGAATGAAAAGGGCAGAAACACGTTCCCCCCCGGTCGCTCGTTCGCACATCGAGCGTGCAGCCCTTCGCCGCCCTTATGATAAAATATGTCACTGTGTCAAACTCTCGGTTTCATTTTCCGGCCGCGGAAACGGGCGCCCCGATTCCGCCCCGCGATAGCGTGGCATACAAAATGGCACGCGTTTCCGAGCGATCGCATGCGCGGATGCTGCGCCTCGATTGGCCGATCCGCAGGGTGGGCTCCTGCGTTGCGTCAATACGGATGTGCGCGCGAGGGGGTGAGCCTCGCCGGGCTCACGACCCTCTCTCGCTTCGCCCCACACTGTACCACTCCGCGTGCGGACACGAGCTATAATGGGATTTTCTCCTCTGCGCGCCATCCCCTTTCCGTCCCTTCGAAATGGCCGACGTGCGGCCGTTCCGCCGCCCGCGGAAGGCATCATCCCGCGAGACTCGTTCGTCGTTACTACTGTAATTGCATTGTTTGGGGAAGCAATCGAGTTTTCCCGATCGACCGGCGGGGCCTTCGCGATTATAACTCGCCTCGCTCGGGTCGTGTCTCGACTAGGCACAAGTAATATTCGGGTGATCGATACGTCTTGGTGGCAGTGCAAACGCAACGCGCGTTTAGATTCTATGTATGTACACCTCTAATGTTACAGTCGCGTTAGCGTGAGCCAATCTACTCTCCAAGAGCCAGTTTCACAAACATCGGTTAACCGTTAACTAAGGTTCAGTCGACTCCCTAATTTTTTCCATCTTATTATTTAAGAACGGACAGAGAATCCATTAACCTTCGGTTAGCAGTTAACCGATGTTTGTGAAACTGGCCCTAAAAATCAATCAGTGCGTTACAACTGTGAAGCAGTGAATGTTCACTGTTTTTAGCGACAATCCACTGATTGACTTTTGGAGGGTACTTTTCCAGAAAATAAATGTTTTCAGGGTGCAATGTACCAGAATTAGGGTACGTCTACGGGATTTTCGGAGGATGTTCTCCAGATTAATGTATTATACAATCGAGCCTATTCGAGCCCGTGCACTATCCGCGCGCCCATTAATTCCACGTGTACGGCGATTTCCGATGGACGTTCATTCAAGCCCAACCCGAGGGACGCGCGTTCAGTTTCTTGAACTCGGGGGAGCGCGATCGCCCGAGATTCCGCAATCTGCATATCGGCGTGTCCGATCGTGCTCGGAGGCTCGTGTCCGTGCCCGTGACTCCCGCTCGCATGGGGAAAGAAAATGGAAAGATTTCGTGCGTGAAGTATTATTGGCGACCTGCTAATACGGGAGAGTCAAGGTGAGGATGAAGGGGTATTAGAAGTTCACGCTTGGACGAAACACGCGAGTGGGCCCGCGAGTGGCACGCGACTGATTCGCCGGGTGGCTCACGCGAGAAATAGAAAACCACGTGTACGTGTACGTGTGTGTGTCTTTTTCGCCCGCCTTTCTTCCTCTC